CTTTGTATCGTAATTTGACAAATAATATAATTTAATATAGTTTTAATACTTGGCATTACAATAATCTTCGTATGATTATAGGTAAGTACTCTACAGTCTTCTGATTTATTATTATTATTATTACTAATATTATCATTTGTACCTAATTGAGAATCTTAGTTAATAAATCAACTACGCGTATTTCAAATATGCATGAATCATATTTTATGCAGTCAAATCCCTCGTCATTAAATATACAATCCATATTGTCTGTGTGCCTATTAATAGGTATATATTATTATATTATTACTATGCATAATAACTTATTAAGATGAATTATTCAATTATAATAATACTTCAGGGCGATTATATTAATAATTACTCGAAACGTACGTAATAATATAATAGGTAGGTACGCGTGTTCATATATGTTTTAATGTGATTTTTGTGAATTATGGTTGTATAAAGTGTATACTCACGGTTCTAAATTCAAATATACATAACGTTCATAGTGAATTAAATGAATAACAATAACTGTTTTTAGGCAAATACCTCTCATACGCCTGTATGTAAGAAACAGCTGATATTATAATATATGTTATTTTATGATGTAAAACTGTGTAGTACCCACACACTATAACTGCCGGTACTCTATAACAGCTACTCCACGCAGATTAGAGTATCTATAGGACTATAGGAGGTACCTAGGTACTTGGCAAAAAACAATAATTTCCAATTTTCCTAGACGACCGCCGACGCAAGTCCGTCACGCCCAGGGCCCCAACTCATAATGTTGCCCAATGATAAAAATTTAAAAATATATTGAAAGAAAAAAATAAAACCATTTTGTTATTAATAAAGATTGAACAAGATTGAACAATAGATCGGTTTTGTACACAACATTATCATACATCAACGTTTCTTTTGCGGCCCGTATAACCGAAATTAAAAATAGAAAAATAAGACTAAAAATATAGATTAAACTAAGATTAAAAATAATACTTTCAAGTATAACTTTGCTCAATATTAAAAGACAACAAACAAATGATATTCACATAGAAAATATAATTGACGATTTTGCAAACAAAAGGCAAGAAAAATGAATTTTTGAAAGTGAGTACAGTATTTGTTTTTGAGTGTTTCTAATTGACTGTTAATGTATGGTATGCATTGGCGCAAATAGGGGGAGGGCTTGGGGGGACTTAGTCTCCCCAAATGTCGGTCAAGTCCCCCCAGTTCAAAATCTAGTAATGAGTACTAATTTTTATATTCTGTGATACTAAGCAATATGGCCTATGCCCTATGGTGAGGGGGCTTGAGTCCCCACAAAAAATTTGCGGCTATGATGGTATGTTCAATTTGTTTGTTATTTGATAATTATTTATATTAAATATTTTAAAATGAATAAAAAAAGCTACAAATTATTACATTTATTTATTTGTAAATACATAGGTACTAAATACTAATAGGTACCTAAGTGTTTTAATTATGTTAATCTTATTTTGTATGAGTAAAAACTCGAAATTCCAAAGTATGTTTTCAAATTTGGAAAAATTAATTTTACAATAGTCAATAGGTAAATTTTTCATTCATTTTATTTACACACGGGCCCAAATCGGTGTAGTTGCGCGGCACTGGTCACGGTACTCGAACCTGCAATGCGGTTTGGTTTTCGTCTCCTGACTTTTCTGGAAAAAAGAAAAACGTCGGAAAAGCGTCTACTGCAAGCAGCAGCAGCAGCAGCAGCACATAAGTGAAATGGCCCGACTAAATGATTTCGATGGCAAAATTAATGCTCTAATAAACCGAACGATCCGGAGCCGCGAACCGTGTGCAAGAAGACGATTCGACAATCGCTGTTCCGCTCTACTGTGCAAAGCCTAAAACATCACTATTGTCATCGACTCCCGAGGCTGTCTTTTTTTTTTTCTAAACGTGATTTTTATTTTTACGATTTTTTTTTTTTTCCCAATCGCGTTAATGTCGCCACATTGTGCGTCAGCTATTTTCTGGCTCAAGCCATCCACGTCACCTCTGTATACTTGTCATCAACTCATTTCAATATAAACAATAACGAACAATCAAACAGAGTATAATAATAATACGGGTATTATTTGCTTTACAACATTGTAGGAACGATGACCATTTTGTAGCCGTTTAATAACTTTTTTCCGACAAAAAATAATATTGTGATGGTAGGTAGTACCTACGTTAATATTTAAATAACTCCTACTTATAAGCCGAAGTTTTGTCCAAGTGCAGTTGGCTTACAGTGCGATATTTTAATTTTGAATAAATTACATTTTTACACTGAAATATGAACGACGCTTTTTAAACCGCATACAAACACTCTTAAAAGTCTTAACACGCTAATTTCGTGGTTTTTATATTGCGCGTTATTAAACTTGATTAATAAATGTTAAATAAAATACCCACAATCTAACTATATTCAATGTTCAAATATAAGGAAGTATAATATACTTCTCTTATTATTATCAATTTCATATTATATCCGTATTAGATATAAATTCATATCCTAATTTAAAAAATATATATATTATGTGCCTACAGTAATGTTATGATATACGTCGTGTCCGAACGGGATAATAAAGTTTTTCATATTATAATAAACATGATAGGTACTATATTATCTATAGAAGACTTATGAGATTAGTTAAACTTGCTCGCACCTATATTATATTTCATCTATATAATAGTTTTGA